GTTACCCCACCAGACTCGTGCAATGCGACGTAGACAGCGGTGTTCGAACACCGAAAATCTACCTTCATCCTGTTTTCTTAAAAACCAAGTTTCTGCTCCTCATAGCAGAACTGGCCGAACTGCCGCGGCATCCACTCGACCCTTCACAGACAACAGGATGTCGCGACAACGACACAGATGTCTCAATTTGGCAAATGACAACCGAGCCTTCGGTATGCAACTTGACATTTCATCCTTGATGCGTCCGCCGGGTGAGATGTAGCTGCCCATCTAACAAACTTATCCACTTGTTCTATTACTTCCGCAGTTAGAGTGAGTATGTGTACTGGACCAACCCAATCTGGTGTCAATATTTTACACTTTGGAGGTGCAAAACACGTACCGAACATGCCTACACTAGCACTCAAACTATCCATAAAAGCTTGCAACTTACCTGGATCTTCACTTAGTAGCACTATGTCATCTGCATACTATGAATCAGACAGTCTATAATCTGGGAGTAAATTGATACCGCTATTCTCCAACGAGGATAGGGCTATTTCAAGAATTAAATCAGACAAAGTTAAATAGAAACGGAGAGATAGGGTAACCCTGTCGAAAAGCAATTTCTGTAGTGAACTCGGGTGAAGAAGTGCCGTAAGCTCGGGCTCGGTTTCGGTTATTATCGTAGAGAGATCGCAATACTGAAATAAAATACCCAAGCACTTTCTTCAGAGAGAGGCAGCGCCAGAGTTTGGAGCGGTTGATTGAGTCGAAAACCGCTTCGAGGAAGATCGAAATAGTGGGTCTAAGAAAGGAGTGTCTGTATTCTAGAATTTGATGAACAGTGAAGATGTCGATAAAACCTCGATCAGGTCTAAGACCAGCCTGATTCTTACGTCTGCACTCTTCACGTGCGGCAGACAATCGTCGGAGTACGATGCCGGCGAGAAGTTTGGAGGCATAGTTGATTAAACTGATTCCTCTGTGGTTCTCACGAGAGGACCTATCACCCTTCTTGTAAATCGGCATGATCACCGATTCACACCATTCCGTTCGAACCTCTTCCCATCCTTAAAAACCGATGGGGACAGCCCGTCCGAGCCGGAAGCCTTATACCTGTTGAGATAGCTTATTTCTCGGGTAACCCTCATTTCAGATAGAGGACTGATGTCAACTGGTAGTATTCGCTTAGTTGAAGCGGGTATAGGGAAGTGTTGTGTCGACGGGGGCAACTGAACTGTGACTTAAAATTCTCTGCCAAACGTTCAAGAAGGCGCTGCTGAATATGAATCAGGGTGCTGTCAGACTCCTTACTTGCCTCACCTACATCTACTTTCCTTGGACCTATACTCCTAATTAAACGAAAAAGATAGCGACTATTGCCGGTAGCGGCAGCCTTCTCTATTTCTCTACAATTTCCTACCCACCACATCACGCGGTCCTACCTCAGACTCTTGATGAGCTGGTGTTTAAGAAATTTTCGCGCTTTGTCGTATCTTGAATTCGGAGGAATGACTTTGCGAGCGTCCAGCAAGACAACCAAGGTCGAGGAGATCCATCGTTTTTTATTTAATCGCGCGCCAAAATCCGCCCTTGCTTTGATTGACATTTGGATCGCCTCCTTGCTTGCCGTCCAGTGAGTCCCCTGGCTGATGGTTGAGCTGACAGGCGATCAGATAGTTCTGCGTCGAAGGACGATTTGCACCCATTGCTGACACTGTATTATGGGCATCCGTTTTCGTTGGCTTTTTAGCAGCTATTTACTAGGTGTGGGTAGAATCTCGCTCGTAACAGAGCATGGTCCGTGTCGACGGGTGTTGACCAGTAGGAGTTGTAGTCTTCAATGGATCCTCGCCAACGGTGGCTGATGACGATGTGGTCGATGTGAAGACGTTGGCGGTTTCCATGTAAGGCGGTGTCGTTTCTTGTGCCAGAAGTTGGTGCTTGATAGAAACAGTTCGTGGTTAGCGCGAAGTTGGAATAGACGTTCTCCGTTGTTAGTTCGGTTACCTAGGACTGCATGTGGACCACCAAGTAGTTTTTCTGATTCGTACAGGGATCCTACTTGAGCTTTCAAGTCGCCAGCGACTACCACGATGTCCGTTGACCGGGCACTTTGGAATAATTGAGAAAGGTCCTTGAAGCTCATCCTTCATTTCAGGTGAACTACAATCAGTCAGCGCATACACGGATACAACGAATAAGCATCGACGCTTCGTTCTGTAGCTGTTGATCTGTACTAAACCATCCAGGCGTACAGCACAAAGTCGGCTACTTATCGGAGTCTAGTCGAGAAGTGAACGCTCGGCTCTGACACTCAGCGCAATCCCACACCAGCAACACTGCGAGCTTCGGATACCAAATTGCCTGAACACGAAGAGTGAAGCGTGAGGATGAAGCTGGATCTGGAGATAGCGATGTCATGATTGAAGTAGGGTCTCGAATACATGCTTCGGAGACAGCATACATCTAGCTAAGGCAGGTGACCGACCTGATCGAGTATGCGGACATTAAATGCGGTTAAGTGAAAAGGGGATTTTGGTTTCAAGAATCCGATGCCCTCTGAGTGCTTGACCTGATTAGTTGGACACTGAGTGACATTCCATAGGTGGCGCAAACAGGATGCATCTCCCAAGGTTTGGGAGTGAGAAGAGGAAGTGGACAGTTGAGAAAGGTGGTTTTCCAAATGGATGCCTAAGACTTTGGGGCATGACATACTTCGCGGTAGCCCACACCGACGAAGGGGTTTTTCTTTGGGAACCCTAACCGGAACCCTTGACTCAGAAGTCTGATCCACAGGGCAGTGGGGCGTAAATCCAACGCGGGAGCGTGAACGAAGCACCCGTGTGNTGGCTAAGTTTTGTTCGTTGGTGCGTTGATTATCGGTCCGCCGATCGGGATTGGCCTTTAGTCCCATGCACCCAATCAGATAAGCGGAACGTGGATGGGACAGCACCTTATTGGTTGGGGGTTACCCAGTTTGGGTGGGCGGTAGCTGTTTAATGAGGTTCGAAGACTTCTCCACCGTCCAGAGGAAGCCCCAGGTACCCCGCTCCTACGTCCATCTAGCAGGAGTTTTCGACCGGTAAACTGCTCCTCGCCGTGTTTATTTGCTGGAGTGGCCTCTTTAGGGTAGGGAATTGATAGTCAAAGGAAGCCAGGTACTCACGCAGCTGGCCTTTTGAGACTGATCTTCGTCCAGCCTCTACCCATTTACCTTTCAGATATGATTGGATCTGCGGCTGTGAGGAGCCATCCTATATAGCTCGCATGGTCATGGAGGCACGCAAGCCATCACACCATGTCAAGGTGTATTCTCGTCGTGATATGTAATTCAATTAGTCCGAGAAGGAAATTATAGGAAACAAGCTTTCTTCGCTACTGTGTTTTCTCATTGCATGATGGAAATAATCAGTGAATAAGCCCCGAATAGTGGATAGAAATGTCCATATGGGTAATCCCTTTATTATTAAATTTCCGATTGATAATACTTTCTCCACTCAAAATTTGTGAATGCACTCCCTCGTCCTCGCTAGTTGTACTGCTTGACCGGTTTATATATATATAACGTAACTACTTTGGCAACTTGCCATTCCACTGGAGTGGGTCGTGTTCATGTTTCACTGGACCTTTTGGTTCGTAGTGTCTGCATTTTCCTCTCTTTCAGATTGTCAGTTAGTCCTCTCCACAGAGAACACCTTGTCTGTCAACGGTTTCAGCCCACACCTAGACTCGGCCCACTTGCGGTTGTTTGGTGTATTCGCTCACGGGAGACATCCTGCTGCACACACGAGCCAAGTATCTCACAGTATGTGAAAATTTCAATAACTAAGTACTTTGGGACATTCATTCTACGAACTCTCAAAGGCTGTATCTACATCCTACATGAGCTAGATATTCAAAATTTTATAGACCCCAACCTCTTCATAAATTAAGTTTTTCTCGCCATATCGCTCAAGTCTTCTTTTAAATCTGAAGAAAATTTCCACGGATTCAGACTGTCGCTCGCTTAGTTGAAAAATCGGATATTCGGTTTAGATATATTTTATCATACGTATCACCCGATATTGTAACCTTTTACGCCGTAGATGTAATGAAAAAGCTGAGAGCTCACCAATCCTCCCGAGTGCATAAAGTTAATAATGACTTCACTTGAATTAAGTCAACTCGCACGCAACGTATCTATAGATTCAAAGTGTAAAGGCAAGGAAAACTCATTTTGATACTTCTGACTGTGAAGCGAATAGAGTGGGAAGAAAACCGGTTCCTGTACCTATGCCCCACATTGTCGGTATATTGAAAAGCAACAGCAAAGAGTAAAATCGCAACATAAAAGGAAAAATTGACCACAGATAATTGTTTTGTTCTGGTTGCACTTTAAACCATGATCAGCCGTATATTTTCGTGATAGTAAAGGGACGAAAAGTCAATATTCGAGGCTATTACCGGGTCGGTGAGCCCCAGGCAGTTTACCTATAGTTGGTTGAAGGCCTTGATTCCAAACAAACCAAGACACGTACGAACCACGCAAATACCTTCGTGGTAGTGGAGGAGAATTTAGAAACCTTGGACGTCTGACCCCGCCCAAAGAGCGCATGATCCGACGGACCGGACGCCCGCCCAAAAAGAATTGCGGGTAAGGTTTGGGTAAGTCGAAGGCTCCGACTGAAAACTCCCTAGGAAAATTCGGCTCCTTTGGCCTGGGCAGTCTAGCAGTATCGCGCCCTCCAGGAAATCATGGACCAGTTTTTACATTAAGTTTATTGTGGCGCGATTTGCTTGGCACACAGTCTGAACTCAGAATTGTGTGAATACACAGAATTATCGAAACTGGAAAACAACAGAACAGAGGAAAGAAAAAAACTAAGTTTAAAAGATTTGGTGAAAGAAAGGAATATAGAACGGGCGCTGGTGCTCTTGAAGGCTCCTACTTGTAAAGTAGGAAAGGAATTCCAGGAAGCCTGAAATGGAGGTGAGTATTTAAACATGTTCTCTCCAAAAGTTTAATCAGTACTCACTTCAATTGCCCACGAAAGATGACGAGCTTCTAAACGGAACGCATCACCCAATTGGGATTTGAAGCGAGTTTCCTGTCGCTCTGCATTCGCTTTCAACGACTCAACACATCGTTCATTCCCATCTGTCAAAAGCACGTAGAACGGTTTAAACATGGGCTCGGGCAAACTTCCGCAGGCGCATAAAGCGAGACCGGCGGCTCCAGTCATTCCTGCACCGAGTTCACACACTCGCTGCAGATGCCCAGGCAGGAATCGACTTGAAAACAGGCGTAACAAACCTGGATAGGCTGGGATACAAAGAAAGGCATGTGCTAACAGAAGCTCGGAGGACCAAACATGAACATTTCCTGTGTTGTCGAAACCGGATAGCGTATATAGCCGATGCTTCGTGGCTTCCATTTGTTTAGTTGTGTGATGCTCCGTACTAGATGCGTACATTCGAAGCTGCAGATAATTATTTTTACTCAACTGTTTGTCAGTATCTTCCAGTTTATCGTGCTCATCGAAAATGCGGTGTGTTTTCGGAATATATTCCATCCACCGGACCATTTGTGAATTTGAGTTCTGAGGAACCGCAGGAAGGAGGGGAGTAAAGACGAGACACTGTTTGTGATGGGAGAAATCTCGCAGAGGGACCAAGTGAGACAAATTTCAGCGATACACTATTATCAACGAATTATGAAATCAATGTGCAGCAAACCCATAAACATTTAAACACCCAAAAACATGTAAAAAAGTGTTCAACAAGGAGATAAACGGCACATAAAGAGGGCAATAGAAAATTATGTCATGATCTCCGCAAAATAAACTCACTCATATGATCGTAGTCCATCAAAGAAATATTTTGATTGGGTAAACTGCAGCTTCGGTGGTCGTTGTGCCTCACAACCCAGCGTGTCCATTAGTTCTTATCTGGGACACTGGTTGCCTGAATGTTTTAGAAATACCGCTCGAGTTTAAGGTTAGTCGAGCTCGACGACCTCTGAATAGGCGTCTCTGTTCTTGTATCTGTACCTCCAACCAGCCATGGGTACCTTCTTAGGTCCGCACACTATTCATGAAACCATGATAGTTCCACTGAAAACTAATCTGCTCTGTTGACTATATTCACTATGTTTTCAACATAGAAAACTGAAGTTCCGATCTTAAACATGATAATCGTGTGTCATATTGGCCTTTTCTGTGCACATGACGTTTGGCGTAAAGTTCACGATATATGCGAAATATATCCAGATGTGGAAGTGAGCTCGCTGGAGCAGGAGTATACTATAACAAAGGACTTATGGTGCACACGGTCGAACTGCGTGCATAAATACTTCTTCAGACGTTCTGATCAAATAAGAATTGGATGCACGGTTTACCTGCAACGAATTTGAATAGAGAAGCCAAAACAGGTTTGCATATAAGAAATGACAAGAACACCATTCCTGTCAGCTCTCTAGTGTCGTGAAGACAAAAGATAAGTACTGCCTGTTCTCTCCGTACAGTTTTTCACACCTCATCTCCACACGAACTTTTGACTTCCATTTCATTTCTGCTACCCTGAAGCGGTACTTTAGATGCAACGTAGTGCGGGTGAGTAATACGTTTCTTAAACGGTGAAAATTATTCCGATACCCAAATATATGATGGCTTACTTCGGTGTTGCTTGTCCATCCGCTTCATCCTGCCTATGCCAATCTACACAAGCACTGGTAGTTAAAAATCTCTAATTGACGTATGCCTTTCATACGTAACAAGAGCAACCCATACTTATAAAGACTAGTGACGATGACGATGACCATAATGAAATTGATATAGCGGTTGGATTTTCTGCCATTGCTGTGTTCTACATCCGACATTCCGATTCTACAACCTACCTAATTTGGTAATAAGAATATTTCCTGTCTCCTGCTCCATTGCTACACCTAACCTAAAGTAGGCATAATGTTATCGGATAATCTTAGTACCATAAGTGAACAGTGGGTGATCGTCACTATGGGATTCATTCTTCTTGCGTTCATCATACAGTAAATGTAACAGAACGTATGTTACTGTTAATTTTAACGGAAGGACCTGAAAGTTTATTAAGAACCAGTCCCGGAGTGAACAAGCATGATGCCAACATAACAACTACGGAAAAGAAGGAGTTGCACAAACGCAGGAAAAACAAAATAAAATGGTTAACGGCTAATGATACGAACCAAGATAGTATTTTTTGTTTGACCGTTCATTAAGTAACCCTTATGTTACCTATAAAACCACAACAGCTGCCACTAAGCAGCACACATCTATGCCCACAGAGCGAACATAGGAGGGGTAGATAACTTATTTTCAGGGAATGTAATATTTAGGGTGGTGGTGGAGCAGTGGTTTAGTTGCCGTCACTGCCGTGATTTGGACCCTATGGTCCGAGGTTCGAGCCCCGCCACTGCCATCCAAATTTGGTGGTAGGTAGGTTTGCTGTCGTCCGGTTCAATACCACGCCTAACCTAGCGGGGCTTTATACGGTTCGCCACTCCAAGTCCCGCGGCTTAGGTCACCGGTTTCGATCACTGAACAGGTCCTCGTGACTATGGGGTTCGCCCCGCCTACTGTTAATCACACGGAAGTGTGTAATAAAAAAAATAAAAAAGGGAAATGAAGCAGTACCATGTCTGTGTGATCGGTAGAAATCAAATACATTCAAGCTAGCTAATGCTGCTTTGTATTTCATCTAATAGGGTCCATGAATGTTCCGTAGGATCAGAGCGAGAGTCCAGTGACTGAATGAATGCACTGAGTATTCTCTAAAATCCACATATGTCATTATTATCCGTATGCATTGAATAATGGTAACATTGTGCGCCTCTTGTCTTAGGGGTTAACAGTATCCAAAGATAAAACTTCGCATTCAATAGGTAACATAATTTTTAATGTTATGATGCAAAAGATCATACACCCCATTGACTGGAGGCACTGAAGCAATTAAGAGCAAATCCACAACAATGACGCTCATGTTACTGTTTCCGGACGGAGCTGGATATTTTTTAAAGCAGGCATCGCATCACAGACCCAGGCAAAACCTTTAGTGTGGTGGTGTGCTCCTGGCACCTCAATGAAACGGAGTCTATCTCTCGGCAATTTGGGGCATTTTCCCTATTGCTCGTTGTTGAAGTAACATCGGGCGATAGCGTTTTCTGCAGTGCTGGGTCAGGGCAAGCACTCGCATTTATTGCATCATTTTAGCCTTGAGTCGTAATAGCCTATGCACATGATATGATTAAATAAATCTAATCACCGAGTCTGTCGAAACTGCTAAGTCCCGAAAGAGCTCCTGGCGTGCAGCGAAAGGTGAATGATTTCCTTGGTATGAAGTCAAATTTTTGTTTCCATGGAGCGGTTACGATTTTTGCAGCTGATCCGATACTATGTTTCGCGAAATCCTGGCGGCTGAATAACTGACTTCAGGAGAAGAATACGATCGGTTGGTGGGCCCCTTAGTTCCAGTTCGTTCTAATTTCCCAGACACCCATGAGGTATGACAGAAATGCTCGTCTTTCATCCAACGTTCATCGTTCTTTTCCTTCTATGATTCAATGTCCGTTCTTTGAACCTACATGCGCAGGCCTTAGATGCACAAGATCCTGAAGGACATATTTCGCCTGCATTTTATGAGCTGCATTGGACTTGGAATCATTTGGATGCGGTTCTAACATTGGTATTCATGTGTTGTTCGACAGTAGCCTGTTACCCACATCAGGCATGCCCATAGCCAATAGCCATGTTTTCATTCTTCAAGAGTTGAAGGCATATGGTGAAACCTGAGTCACTATATTTCGTCGTGCGATGACAACGATGAACTTTGTTCGTTATACTCCACGGTGGAGGCTGCATCCGCAGAAAATTTATCTAACCGTTGTGGTATTTTATGGCTGCTTGTGTGGCAACCCCACTTCTTAGAGGAATAATGCCCTCCGAGGAAATTCATGCTTACCAATAAATGACAATAAAACTCCTTGGGCTGGTAACTTACACTCGTACAATTCAATGCGGGAAGATTACCAACGACATTTTGGACAAAAATTAATAGATCTAGTAAATTTCCTTTAAATACTTTGCATCATGCATTTGCTTGATTAGCCCAGTAATTCAAGAACTAGATGTTAAACCTTATCTTATGAGGAATAACTGTGAGTGCTAACGCCCACTAAGAGAGAGGTGTGTGTCAAACAATTTGGTGAAACGGGTAAGTTTCAGTTTATACATCCATGAACCATGCACTATCGCACGGCAGTTTCCGTTGCTGTTGTTTGAACACCCTTTCGAGTAAATGAGCAGAAGAAAGAAGTAGAAAACTGGAGGCAGTATAGGGTGAATATTGAGATTAAGGTGGTCTAAGGAGTAAGTACAAGAGAAACGAAAAGTGTACTTGTGGATTAAAAGTTTTCAATACCTTCTTTAACCGCTGAGATTGCTCTGTATATTTCTGGTACAGTATGAGCCTCTTCAAGCTTAAGTATGGCCGGAGGTAGATGACTACGGTTGTGACTTAACATTCCTCTTGCAACTCAAGAAATGCTCCTCTACGACCAATCGTCTCAAATAGCCTCTGCTGAGGAAGCCCTGCTCGCTGTCTTCCCGTGACGGAGGTGTTTCCCCACCAAAGTGAGGGTGGAAAAAGCCAACATCCGGGGTTATAACCAGCTCACTGGACAATTGGCAAGTCTCCTAGGTGAGTTGGTTAAAAACCTTGATCTCGAACGAACACAAGAGTCGTACAAACCGCACACCCTCCAGGTTGTGGCAATGGACAAAGGTACGATTGGGCGTTGAGCAATGTTTGGGCATCTTGGATGCTTAATCCTGCCCAAAGGATGTGTAATCCAATGAACTGGACACCGACCCCTAATGGGCTGCAGCTTTCACACACCGCGGTGCCATAAAGGTTAATTCTTGGTTAACCGAATGCTCTGGCTGTGAATCCGCCTGCTTTGATTTGGGTAACCTGACCGTATTTCGCCCACAAGCAAATCACGAAGCTTAATATTTTTTATAAAAATTATAATCCCCTGATTGGTTCGGTACACCGTCTGGACTCCGATTTATGTGGAATATATATGTATATATGTATATTAGGTTGTTGTATAAGTTCCCATCATTAAATGAAGCTATTTGTTCTACAAAGACTTTTTGATGTTTGGCGAAGTGTTATACACCATTAGAAAGCCGGTGCTGTGCTCTACGAGTGTAAAGTAATCTTTTTTGCTTTTTTTATTTTGTCATTTTTAGCACCGTCAAATGGATTGTCAAGTCGGAATAAACGCACTTCCGACACCTTTTCGCCTTTAATTCAGGTCAAAAAGCGAGTGAAGCTACCGGAGACCTTTGTATCTTGTACGGAGAGGACGCTATAGCTGAGAGAACTGCTCAGGATTGGT